CCCCGGAAGCTAAAAGAGGCAAGGAACAGATTCTCTCCTAGAGTCCCTGAGGTAGTTTGGCTCTGATGACAACCTGATTTGGACCCAGTGAAACTGATTTTAGATTTCTGGCCTCTAGAACTATAAGATAATAAATTTCTATTGTTTCAAGACACCCCACTTTTGGCAATTTGTTACAGCAGCCACAGGAAACTAACACACCCATTTGGCATTTCTACCAAAAGAATAAGTACTGTCAGGTCTCATTTCTCATTTTGTTAAGTGTAGCAGTAATGGTGAAGAGACTTAGAGGTGGATCCAGTTTATTAAGTACATGATGCCTGCTATGCAGGGAGGCCATCAAGCAAGACAAGTTCAGGCTCTGTGGAAGTACAAGCAGATCAGTGAAGTTGATTAGCAGATTACAAGGTTCCAACCGTGGGGCTTCAGAGAAAAATTCAAGATTGTCTAGCTGTGAGAAAATTCTAGTACAGACCCTTAGACACAATGGAGCCAAAAAGAAGAAAGAAAATGGGAAGGCGGGGATAGTGGGAAAGCCACGTGTTCTTAAGTTAGAGAAATCTGAGATTAACATTTGGCTCTACAACTTAATAAACACATGAGACATTGAGAAAAATCATTAAGTTCAGATAAACCTCAGTATTCTTAGTTTTAAGTGGGTTTGTAGCTACCATGTTGGATTCTTCCATGAAGGTTAAGTAAAACATTAGAAAGCCTAGATTAAGTACAGTATTTGTTTCTTATTAGATAAATGCTTGTATAAGATTTTTTAGGAAGGAAGCAGAAATACAGGGGTGAAGTGGCAATAAAGTTAGTTTAGTGTTGTGTTACAGAATCTTGGGTTGACAGATCTTAAATTCCTTCAGTCTATGATCAGATGGGTATCAAGTGGTCCCAAATATAGGATGAGAAATAATGCCGATAAGAAATCTGCAAGGGATTGTCACTGACCTAATCAGTAGTGATTAAGAGGACTAGTTAATTGACTGATAGTTACTGTTGAAATTTAAATTTGCCAAGAATTCTTCGAATAATTTCATATATGCATTTCATAATCACTTAATCTTCACAACTGTATCATACCCATATTACATATGAGAAAGTAGAGGCAACAAAAGTGAATTAACTTGTCCAAGTTTACATAGGCAGTAGTTCCTAAATTTGGATTCTGACTCAGATTAATTCAAGTTAATTCAAGACATTTCTAAAAGTAGGAGAAAATAATGGTGACATCCTTTTTTGTCACAATCATATACTATGCTCCTAGCTACTTATTGAATAAACATGTCTGAGTGTTTACCATGAGCCAGGGAAATGGTCTTTAACAATCATGACTTGGACCTTTAATTTATGACAAATAGCACTAGTTTCTATAATTCCCTACAATGAATGTATATCTTTTTTTTAAGGCCTATGTGTACATAGTTATTTGTACCTATGAAGGATATCCAAACTGTGGACTACCAGAGGAGACTGACCAATATTTCTTGTCATTTGTCATGTGGCTCTGCATTCCACAATGATCATCCTTTCACCTGAGTTACTCATGGGCTGTGGTCTCTAGACTGCCTTATTCATCTCCATCTGGAAATTAGTTCTTAGAGGTTAGACAGAAATATATTCTAAAATGTTTGGCTTTAAATATGAGTGTATTCTGCAAGATCATTTTGACCTATAAAATCTTCCATTAGAAGCCATCCCCTTGGAATGGAATCAGCATTCTTCAAGCTAACTTCTGCCACAGCAAAATACTCAGTGCCTACAACTCCTCTGGCATGATGGAATTCCACCTGCCCATCAAGGCCATTTATATTAGCAAAAATTTGGTGAACAGCATCTTTGGTAATCCAAGAAAAGTTAAAATGTGGTTGTAAATTTCTTTTAAACAAATGGAATAGTCCACTGAATTACTATATTAATTCAATATAAGGTCACAAGTACAGACATTACTGTGATCATATTTATAAAATAAATTACAACTTCTTTTAAGTAGGAAAAAAAACCCAAGGTTAATTAAAATGTAAACATTAACTAACATGTCAGAGCTATGCCTTAAAATCAAGATAAGTACTTATTGCCAGGTTAAGAATTAAAGGGTTTGGGCGTCTGGATGGCTCAGTTGGTTGGGCGACTGCCTTCGGCTCAGGTCATGATCCTGGAGTGCTGGGATCGAGTCCCGCATCGGGCTCCCTGATCGGCAGGGAGTCTGCTTCTCCCTCTGACCCTACCCCCTCTTGGGCTCTCTCTCTCTCTCTCTCTCAGATGAATCAATAAAATCTTTAAAAAAAAAAAAAAGAGTTAAAGGGTTTGCTCCTCAGTTCCATGAAACTGGTGCATTTTCCCTAAGAAAAACATCTGACAAATTAAACAGGGAAAAAATAGGAACAAAAGTTACCTTGGCTTCATGAATTAAAATCATCTCAATAAGGTGGATAATTATAAAAGTTATGAAAAGAAGTGGGGATTGAAACCAATTCACTGACACTTTAAAAATGAATTAGATAACATATTTATACAGCATGATTTTGGAAATGTATGTTCTCTGGGACTACATATGCTATGGTTTTCTATATTCCATCTGATGAGTAAATCATCTACATGCAGAGTTCCAGGGCTTTTCACACTCCTAAAATCTTTCTGAATACCATATAAATCCCTTACAGGAGGAAAAAAGAGAGAAAGACAAAGAGAGACAATGGGGTGTGATCTAGCTTCTATCACTAGCAACATTTTTATCTCCCCCAGCTTCACCAGTACTCACCAGCTTTTTATTTTTTCCTTATTTTTATTTTTTTTACCAGCGTTTTAGACTCAGATATTTGCTGGCATGTCTATAACCATCACAGGCTATTAGTACCTTGGATATATTGTGTCTTTTCTTATAAGAGTTCAGATATTTTGATAAAAAAGTAAATTCCTAACTACCTAGCATATATAACCATAACTGATACGAAATGTGGCATATAGAAAACATATTTATCTACATATGTGAATAGCTATAAAACCACATTTATTTTCACTGAACTACCTGGAAATAAAAAGCAGGCATTATTCTACCTGGATGAGGAAACCAAGTAGTAAAATGGACTCTTCCATTCATACTGACACAGAAAAAATACAGAAAGAAGAAACTACCTCGAAAGCCCATTTAAGTCTTCAACAGTTGAAGTTCCATTTTCTCTTTCTTGAGAAATATTCACTTTCCAAAATATATTTGGTCTATTCGGGGAATCTATTCAGGTACTAATCTCTAACCCAGGCTTTGAGAAATTTATTTTAAACTGCAGCCAAATTCACTGTTTTAATTATGCAAGACTCACTAGTTTAATAAGCCCACTCTACAGCCCGCTGCTCAAAGTCTTTAACAGCAGGATTCTAATAGAGCCAGGTCCAAAATGTAAATGGTGCCATCTGCATCACCACATCCACTCCAGCAGCACTGCTATTAAATTAATAGTACAGTCTGCAAGATAAAACAGCAGAGACTCCAGTCATGTGGAACCAGTTGAGTCTCTGTTTAACCTCCAGCAGATTGAAACACATAGCCAGTTCAGTCAGGGCTAGCTTAGTTAATCCATACTCAAGAGCTGTGTCCAATTTCCCTGACCAAAGGAATTAGGGATCAAAAAAGGAAGGGGAACAGTAAGAAGACATTAGTTCCCTAAGTACAAATATAAATAGGTTTCAATTGAGTAAGCTTCAATGTCCTTGATTGTATAAGGATTGGCTGATCAATCTGGATTGAATTCAAACATTAGGATTAAAGACATTATAGCTGCAGAATGATTTAAGCTCTTCACAAAAAGGAAGTACATAAAGTATATTAAAAATGGCATTTTAATATAGATTCACATATTGGTATAATTTAGGGTTAAGTAGAACTTCTATTATTTGAAACTGTACTATTTGCAACTTTGGTCTTCACTGCAGGTAATTTTACACTAGCGGGTTTTTTTTTTTTAAGATTTTATTTATTTATTTCACAGAGAGATAGACAGAAGAGCACAAGCAGAGGGAATGGCAGGGGGAGAGGGAGAAGCAGGCTCTGTACTGAGCAGGGAGCCTGATGCAGGACTCGATCCCAGGACCCTGGGATCATGACCTGAGCTGAAGGCAGACGCTTATCCATCTGAGCCACCCAGGTGCCCTACATTAGCGAGTTTTGACATAATAAATATTAGACAAGATTCTATTTCTATCCAGAAAAAGATTATTTCCTTTTCTGTCCAGAGCACATATTTGTGTGATATGGAATTATGAGATTTTAATTTTTGCCCTGACTCACTTAAAAAGCATGCGAGGCTGATCACTGGGGAATCCTGAGCATATTTAGAAATACATCCCTTTGAAAGCTTTTGTTTCCTATACATTTCTTTAAAGTTTTATGACTACAAGGGCCATTCCTAGAAAAGAGATGCTTGTAAAATGAGCAAGACAATGCTGGCCATTATTAACATGCCTCTAATGCAAGATTGCAGTTCCTGGATTCAGTTGAGTTGAAAGGGATATTAATCATCATGTTGTCACTGTCCATGTACCCCTTGAGGCTGTATACGAACACTGCGGGGCAATCGCAGTGTGCAGCAAGGCAATATAATGACTGCATTTCTGTGCCAACGACTTTAAAGGTACTGCATGGCATAAAAAATTCAAGGTTAAAAAAATGAACTTTGACTTATTACAGTAACATATTCAAAGAAGAAAAAGTATTTACTAGTAAGTCAATAATTATATTTATAGTACTATCTTAGAAGGAAAAACCAGTTGTAAATAATTTAAACATTGTCACATGTTTTGAAGTTACTTTGATTCCAACAATTAAATATTACTTATGTATTTATACCTGAAATTAACCGAGAAGTAAAGGTATTCATTTAAACACTATCAAAAATGTTAAAACAAGGGAACACTCGACATGAAAATTTTCCTTTCTTCCATATGAGCACACAAAATATATATCCTAAATAAAAATAAGAATAAACATGAAATTAAACCATTACCTTTAGTTAGTATTTTCCTTTCAGTTTTCTCCTGCTTTTCAGTCTTTTCTTTGTGTATTTCTAGGAAAACACAGAATTTGTAATTTAAAAACTTTTTTTGAAAATGTACAAAATATAAGTTATAACTATGATCTAAACTTTAAAATTCTACCATGAAGTCTAAATTTGTCCTAACTGGAAAAAGTCATTGGAACATATTGCTACATAAATCACTCATTTATTGAAATAAGGAAAAAGTTGGATTTACCTCAAAAGTAGTGTTATTTGAAAAAGCGTAAAAACTTACATAAATGGGGATTTTTGTCATCATTTTCAGTGCTAAAATTGATCACAAGCTATAATTATGTTTTTTTTCAATTACTCTCAATTCAATTAAGAATCCTTAGTAAGAATGTCATTTAGATTGAGGAAGATTTCATTTTTACATATTATTAAGAATTTGTGAAATGAACTGTAACTACCTAATAGGAAATATATCTCAGAAGTATTGACTCTAAGCTATGTTTATAATCAGAATTTGGCATTGCATTTAACCAATAATTACTGCATGCAGATATGACACATTTCATGGAATAAGTCAGTTGTTACATTTTTTCCTAAATATCAGGTTTTAACAAATATATTTAATTTTCTGCTAGCTTCAGTATACATACATCGCCAAGGCTTGGAAAATGAAGTTAATTCTGAATTCGCAGTTAATTTGGATAGACCTAGATTAAATATTAGAGTTTACAGATATGATTACTACCTCAGAAAAGTGACTTAATAGCGTGGTTTTTCTTAGAAAAATGCTAATGAGTTTTACTTATTTATTTATCACAACTTTATTTCACAGATGATCTGAGATGGTTCTAATCACTGTACACATTTTAAATTCTCCATTTGTAAATGTGAATTTGCATTTTTGTAACTTTTCCAGAAGTCTAAAATTAAGACCAACTGTCAGAAATTCCTAAGTATCTTCAGAAAAGACAGTGATTTTCACCTGTTAAGGAGGTAAATCATCACTGTGAAAATATCCCCACTTGTCTGCCCCATGAATCCCGCATCACACTATTTACAGAGCCACCCCTTTACCCTTATCCCATCCCTGACTTTGATATGGCAATAGAGATACAAAAGAGTTAAGATACTTAATCACATCTCTGATACAATTTCTCCAGGTTTCAAGGAAAGATCTTCAAAACCCATAGGAATCCATTTTTCTGCCTCTCTCACCATTTTTTTAAAAAATCTCTTCTCTATAGGTCTCCAAATCCTACTCCAAGTGTGTGTGTGTGTGTGTGTGTGTGTGTGTGTGTGTGTGTGTGTGTGTTCCAGATATCTGCTGGACACTTACCATCAATCTTTTCTGAGTTGGGTGAATCATTATTTGGGAGTAGAGTGGGGCTGTTCTGTGCAAGCTCTGGTATTTAGCAGCATCCCTGGCCTCTACCTGTTAAATGCATGTAGCTCCACCCCCCGTCATGACTATAAGAAGTGTCTTTAGACAGTGCCAAATGCTCTCTGTATGGCAAAAATGAGCCCCCAAGAACATGCTCACATGGCTCAGATGAAAAATTTTATGTTTTTAAAGAAACTGTGCCTTATTTGCAAAGGCACAGTAAAGTTGTATCTTATAGGCTATAGACAATAAAGCTAACATAAATCTTACTTAACACACAACACACAAAGAATTTATATCTTTAGAACTGTCTAAGGATGTGAGATAACCACTTTAATCACTTTCACTAGCTAGACCTATACTGCCCTAGGCAGTAGCCACAGGACTTACGTGAATATTAAGGACATGATATGCAGTTTGTTCAAATTGAGATGTGCCATAAGTATAAGTATATACTGGATTATGAAGACTTAGTATAAAAAAGAATGTGAAATATCTCATTAATGATTTTATATTAGTAACACTGGAATGATATGATCTTAGACATATTTAGTGTGATCATTTTATTTGTGTGTCAACTTGGTTAAACTACTATCCCACATCATTCAAATGAACACTAATCTTGGATTTGCCGTGAAGGTATTTTACAGAAATAATTAAAATCCTTAATCCATAGACTTTAAATGAGCAGATGATTCCGGATCATGAGGTTTCCTGGAGAGAGGGAAGAAATTCTGTCTGGGGATGATAGCTTTCATCCCTGCCCATAGATTCAAGTTTGCCTGTGATTTTCCCTGCCTGACTACTGTCCTATGGGTTCTGACTTGCGTAGCCAGTCCCCACAATCACAGAGGCCAATTCCTTGTAATGAATTTCTTAATACATAAATATATCTGCATAATCTTAAAAAAAAATATATATATATATATCTGCATAATCTTCTACTGGTTCTGCTTTTCTGGTTGAGCCCTCACTGAGACCCTGATTAGGTTAAGTAAGACACATGATTAAAATTAATTTCATATTATTCTTTTTACATTTTAAATGTGTGGCTACTTGAAAATTTTAAGTTGCATGTGTGGCTCACATAATATTACTATCAGGCAGTGCTGGTTTAGTCCTAGGAGTGGGCAGATGACCTTTCTAAAGCCTTAGTCATCCACAGGGTTAAATCTTTTACAAGTAAAAAAGCAAATTCAAAATTCTCCCCTGTCAGTACAGTCTTACTTCCTCCCTTCTATTCAGACCAACAGAGGCTGTGGAGATTGGTGCCTTGTATAGCTCAGGCCAATAAAGCAAGTAAAACACCAAAGATTTAGAAGAGTCTTTAGATGTGCCAAGGGAGTCACCTTTAAGGGATAATTTCTTACTCCTAGTAAGGGTTGATTTGAATGCAGAAATGGGATGAAATTTTCTAAGTTAAAAGCTTACATGGAATGCAACATTCATTGTGAGACAAGAAGGCCTTGAAATTGTCATTTAGAATAATATTTTTCCTTTAGAGGTAAGCTTGCGTGTGTGTGTGTGTGTGTGTGTGTGTGTGTGTGTGTGTGTGTGTGTGTGTTCTGCAGACATCTGTTGGCCACTTAGAAGAACAAAGCAGAGGTGCTGCAACTCCCACAGGAGGATCAGACCTGAGTTAGAACTTTCTGCAAGATCAGGTGCTAAAGACCATCCTGCCTGGGTAATCCTGTCAGAGATTCCTAGCTAACTTCTTCTTGGGAAATACACTGAATATGGTGGCGATTTGTGGGACTATGCAACCATGTTGGTCCACGGCTGTGTTTGCTGAAAGGTAGGTGGAGGTTTGCACATCAGAGAACAGACATATGAAGCAGCGGTAGGAACCACCTTGAAACCACTTAGCTCTAGCTCTTTTTTTTTTTTTTTGACAGAGAGAGAGAGAGCACAAACGGGGGGGAGTGGCAGGCAGAGGGAGAGAGAGAGAGAGAGGGAAAAGCAGGCTTCCTGCCAAGTAGGGAGCCCGATGTGGGGCTCGATCCCAGGACCCCGGGATCATGATCTGAGTCGAAGGCAGATGCCTAACGACTGAGCCACCCAGGCATCCCGCTCTAGCTTTTTTGTACACAGAAACATCTCATCAGAAGGGAATGAGCTCTAGATTGTGACCAAAATTGAAATGAGCAGACGTCCATCCTGGAGGGAAAAAAATAAAGGGAAAGAAGACAAATCTCAACAAGATTGGGATCAAGAACACCATTCATGAAAAGGCAAGGGGAATATGTGTTGCCTGCACCATTTTTCAAACCCATAGGAGTGGGGTAACCCTAAGGAGGAAGGTAAAACCCAGCATGTTGGCTATGCTTCACAATAAGTTTTCCTTAAGAAAAAATAAAATAAGTGAAGCTAAAGGAGCATGAGACTGGGAAAAAAATGGCAATGCATTTCTGAGTATTTGTTTTCCACTCTATGGTAACTGGAGGAGCCAATACAACCCAGTTCTGTAACTCAGACCAATCTCAAGGACAAGGCCCTAATATTTTATTTCCCTGATTCTGAACTTCATCCTTATGCAAAGGACAGCCTCATTGCTCTGGGCAGATCTACTTAGATTTCTCACAAGTGGCGGCGGGCGTCATGGACTAAAATACATACACATACATAATAAAATCTTTACACCTCACAGTGACATATGATGACTTACACAGACATATTTCTGCAGGAACATCATCAACTAATTTTTTAACTGATGATCACTTGGAGACCATTAGTATTTCTACAGCAGCACGTGTAGACTCGCACAGCTAACCTTGGCATGTAAACCTACATTTCTCTGCTTAGAGAAGACAAAAGAAATTTATTCCTTATGATTCAAACTTAAGGATAAATGCAATCTCTCTCTCTCTGAGTTTATTGCAACATCTCATTTTCTTTGGGGATTGGATTCTATGACTAGCGTTATTGCCTCTACCCATGAGCCAGTTCTTTCTGCTTCCACTTGAGCCAGGATATGATAACTGTTCAGGCTCCTGTCCAATTGAGTAACAACGTGCTACCAATTTAGACTTCAAAAGGATATTTTTCTCATAGGCAGATGATGTTTGATTTGTTCCTCTCAGCTGCTCTTTCCAGCTAAGAACCATTTGTATAAGAATGCAAAATTAAATTTTAATAATTCAAGTCACTAAAGGTAGAACTTTATTGCCCTATGGTTTTCAACAAACTTCCAAGAAAAATAAAATTTCCTATATTATGTTAAAACTAGCTTCCATTTGTTTAATATTTTCCATAGACTGGCAAATAACTCCATTTTTGGGTACTATGACAAAAATGTATGATTGCATAAAATCGCATTTAACAACATGACACTCTTTAAGAGTAGTTCTCTTAAACCTGCACAAGTCCTGGATACAAGGGACAAAGAAGAAGGTCAAAGCAGGCATCGTTTACCTCCAAAAATATGTGCATTGCAATTAGATTAGTGTCCAATGTCTCTGAAGATGTAATAAGTCTCAGCACCAGATGCCAGTTGGAATCATAAGGCATTTTGGTCACTGGTAAACCTTAAAGATCATTTTGCAGCTTAGACAGCATAGAGGTCAAAGTATCTCATTCCAGGTGTTAGCCCGCCCACAGTCCCTTAAGGATACAAGTTTATATTTGAATTTTGAGAATTGGAGATGGGAAAAATAACATGGAGAAAGAGTGACAATTA